GCTTCTTTATCACAGACTGGACATAGGTTCAGTCTGGGGGGAGGAACACACAGACTGAGAAAAATGTTGGTGACTTTGAGAATCCCAGATGATGAGAATGGAGATGTGAACAGTCCTGGCCATGGGAGGGGTCTCTATGGAGAAAGACTGTAGCAGAGGTGACAGCTGTGTGATCGTGGCTTAAACATAAGCTCATGCACGGGATGTTGGCTCCCTGACTTTTGAATCCTATTTGGGAGGGAAAGTGGGGGTGAACCTTTGAGGGCTTTACCCAAACCTCGGGTCAGCTTTCCCTTCTGTGCTCTGTGGTCACGGCCCCTGTCATGTCACATGGCCCTGTTCCCACTGTGCACATATGAGATTGGAGGGCACAGACTGAGGGGTCCAGGTTATCATGCCCCTTGACAATGTATTGGACAGAGGCCAGTGGGCAGCAACAGGAAAGGAGATAGTTTAATAAAATGAGCTTAGAAATGGGTCAAAGCTGGACCGAGGACCAGGCTCCGAGAGGACGAAGTGGGACCCTATGACCTTTGATGGGCCATTTACTTATTATTCTCTCTCTCTCTCTGCTATTGCTTCCCTCCATGACCTATCTTCCTAAAACAGTGCCACCAACACCAGGGACCAAGTGTTCAAACATACAAGCTTGTGGGGAAAATTCCACATTCAAACCACAGAAGCACTGGCACTTTTAAGATTTGGGGGATTCTTGCAGTAAGACAGAATGTTTCTGACATTATGAGATGGCCCATGATCCTTTTGGGCAGTGGTTCTCAACCTTCCTAATGCTGTGACCCTTTAATACGCTAGAATTATTCTTGTTGCTACCTCATACCTGTAATTTTTGCTGCTATTGCAAATGTAAATACTTTCGGAAACTGAAGGTTGGCACAAGGGTCGCGACCCACATGTTGAGAATCACTGCTTTTGGGTATGAGGAGTGTGGTGCTGTTTTGACCCTGAAATGTCCCTCACGGGCTCATGCTTGGGCTCTGTTTTTCATGTTGGTGGTATTGTTTTAGGGGGGTGTGAGGGCTTGTGGGAGGAGAACCTAGCTGGCAGAGATAGGTCCTAAGGATGGGCCTTTCTCTCTGCTTCCTGTTGGTCATCGGGTTAAACAGATGCCACATGTCTCTGCCACCATGGTGTTCCACAGGAGGCAACTGAAGAGCGAGCACTCTTGTAAGCGTAACTGATCAGGTTAAAGAAAGTTTGCTGGGCTTGTGAGCTGCCTCAGCCAGTAAAGGTGCTTGCCATCAAGCCTGAAGGCCTGAGCCCTGTCTCCTAGTTCCACATGGTGGAAGGAGAATTGACTTGGTTTTCATGTGCCATCCCCTGAGACAGACAGATAGATAGATAGATAGATAGATAGATAGATAGATAGATAGATGTAACTTTAAAATTACATTGGCTTATTTGGGTGCCCCATGGTATACATGGAGGTCAGAGAACAATTTGTAAAAATTGGTTTTCGCCTTTCACCACATGGCGGCCAGGGATTGAACTCGGGTCTTCAGGATTGGCCACAGGTGCCTCTGCTTACTGAACCATCTCGATTGGCCTGAATATATGCACTGATGGGGCAAATCAGCTATTGAAAATGCCAGGCCAGCCAGGCGTGGTGGTACACGCCTGTAATCCTAGCACTCAGGCAGGAAGAGGCAGGTGGATCTCTGTGAATTTAAGGTCAGCCTGGTCTACAAATTGAATTTAGGACAGCCAAGGCTACACAGAGAAACCCTGTCTCAAAAAACAAAAGCAAAAATGAAAGGAAGGAAGGAAGGAAGGAAGAAAGGAAGGAAGGAAGGAAGGAAGGAAGGAAGGAAGGAAGGCCAGGCAAAGGCCCTGAGGTAGAAGTGAATTTCAGTGTGGCCAGAAAACAGTCAATGCTTGTGCATTGTGCATCAGTGACTGAGGCCTGGAGCAGCAGCCATCTTGGCCAGTTTCTGTGACAGACACAGTGATTCTTGTGGTCTCAGGGTGGCTGTGGGTTTGAACTGTAGCAGAGTGTACAGCGGCTCTAGGCATGGGCCAACGGCTCTGTGGATGAAGTGTTTCTCACCCAGGATTTGTGGTGGGTGAGCAACAGAGATGAGCATACAAGCATCAGATATTTCTGCCTGCATTCCACCCCTCCCCGATTCTGGTGGTGAAAGCATGTGGCCAAGCCAGCATCCAGTTGACACAATCAAGAATCTTTTGGGAAGAATATCTTAATGAGAGGTTAACACAAAAAGTATCAGCTCTTTGGGGAATCCTCATGGTTATACCAGCTGAAAACATGGGCGCCCAACACGGGTGGCAACATTCCCTAAACAAGAGATTCTGAATTGTGCCGGTGGATTAGGCAAGCTGAGCACAGACATGTGAACACTTTATTCTTGACTGTGGTGGGGACCAAATACCTCAAGTTTTCACACCTTGGCTTCCCTGTCACCACTGTCACCTGGAACTGTGGGCTGAAGTAAGTCCAGTTCTCCCTAAATTCCTTTTTTGAAATCACAGCAACATGAAACAATGTTGGTTTAGACACACTGGAGGTGAGAATCTCATGGGACACAGACAGAGGTGGTGATGTCCACGTCCGGAAGAAGCATCTAAGAGTTCTCATGACGGGCAGGCAGGGGAGCAGGCCCCCAGGGCATGGGATGCTACAGGCCTCTGGAAACCTGGTGCACAGGCAGAAGGGCTCTTCAGTGGCCTCACCATGAGGCTGATTTCTCACCTTCTTTCTTCCCCACCAACTGAACCCTGAAATTACCTGGGGGTAGTAATGTCTGTGCAAAGGGATCCAGTCCCCTGAGGCCCCCACGCTGAGGGTCAACGTTTCCTGATTTCTAAGTACAGCTGACGTCTGGGGCCCTCTTGCTCGGTTTTTGAAACGGCCTGAGTATGTAGCACCGGCTCACTGTGAATTTGTGGTGATCCTCCTGCCTACGCCTCCCACGTGCTGAGACTGTATGTTTGAGATACCTTCCCGAGAGGTGCTTGTAAATTCTTGAAGCGGAGCCTTGCTCCATGCCCGCACAGACTGATGTTTGGAGGGAGGAGGGCTTCCCCTGTGGAAGCAGCTGTTAACGTATTTTTCTGTGACATTCAGATGAACTCGGTTTTAATGAATCCGCGATAATTCTGCAACATTTGGGCAGCTTCTGCTTCACACCTGGGGGCATTTTCGCCTCCGCGTTAATCTGTGCGAGATTAACACCAGCCTGGCCTGGTGGTGCCGGCAGTTTGAAGTATTGGGCGCCACCTGGTGGCCGCGCGGCGCATAGCCCTACCCGGGGGGGTCTCAGCCCCAGCTCACCCTTTGGTCAGCACCCCGAGTTTTGAACGTCAGTGGCCTGAAATGGACTCCAGGAATTTAAGACGCCGTCGAGCTTCCTAGCTCCTGTGGGCTCCGGAAATTGAGAGGGGAGCTGTTTCTAGGAAGCGTCTGGCTGTCTTTCCCCTCCTGCCTGTTGAGAACTGGCTACTAAATAAAGATTCCATGTGACCTCCGTTCTGCAGACTCGGTCTCAGAGCAACAGTTAAAGTGGAGAGGAGGGAGGCAGATGACTCACTGATACTCCGGAAATTAACACCCAGGGAGCCTGACCCGGTAGCGGCTCGTACAGAATTGATTGGCGGTGGTTTGAGCCGTGGGTGGAGTGGCTTTAATGTAGCCCAGCTTATTAATACTTCCTTCTGTTGACCTTGGATACACACCCGAAACCAGGCTGGGCATGGTGTCTCAGGCCTGCAATCTCAGCTCTCAGGAAGCTGAGGCCGGGGTGTTGTCATGAGTTCCAGTGCAGCTGAGCCCTAGAGCGAGATGACAACACCCTGAAAAAACTCTGAAATGGGCAACAGTGACTCCCACCAGCATGCTTCAAGGTTTAGAGGTTGATGGAGAGACTTGGGCTCCGCCCACACTGGCCGCTGCAGGTGGTGAGGCTGTCTCCTTCCTGGGGGACCCTTTGCTAATAGAGCCACTTAATGCTGCCTGGATTCTGGGTCCCACTCAGCCCTGAGTCCACCCAGCTCTTGGATTAAGTGTGACTCTAAGCCTCAGAGACAAGATGGCAGAGGTCCTTGGAGAAGGCACGGTTGAAAGCAACGAGGGGGCAACTCTGTATCTTTCATTTGGGAGCAGAAACTGGAAACCAGCGATGGCAGTGGTGTGCAGGGGACGAAGGGTGTGTGGGAGGAAGGCACGGATCTGTGGGAAGGGCTGTTCTGAGAACTGGTGGGGCTATGTTTTGCCATGCTGGGGTCAAAGGAAGCAGGTGAAGCCTGGCCATGTGGATGAAAGCCTCAGGGCACACAGAGTGGCCACAGGATCATGGTCTGACCCTGAGAAGCCAAGCCAGGGGCACACAGAACTACTTGCTACCCAGGCAGTATACTCTTCAGGCCCGAAATAAGGGGAGTTGAAAGTCAGGTAGGTGTTTTCCAGCTGTAGAAGATGGAGGTCTCAGAGGTCGTGTGATTCTGCATGTGACTCTGCAGAGGTAGGCGGCAACAAACTCCTCTCCCAGGAAAGACTCTTCTGTAAGGCTGTGGGATCCAGGCTTCCGTAGAGTTAGGTCTCAGACAACCCACAGCCCCTGTTCCAAAATGCTCTATCTTGTTTTGCAGTTAAAACGACCAACTGTTTTGTTTGTTTACTTTGGGCTTTGAGGTAGGGCCTTCATCTTCACTTACACTGCTTGGCTTGAACTCCTGTTTCTCCTGCTCTGTCACCCTCAAGGAAATAGCTCGGAGAGAGCCCTGATTCTTGCGGGGGCTGAGCCCGGGTTTCTGTCTGGGAGAACATAGGACAGACAGGTGGTCACAGCCCCCTTCCCTTTCCTCTCCCAAAGGCCGATAAGGCAACAGGTTCCTGTGCCCACATGGCTTCCCCTTCCTTATGTAAAACAGCTTAGCTCTTCAACAGATTTCACATTTGCATCTCCACCTGGCAGTGGAGGAGCCACAAACAAAATCACATTCTGCTTTGGATGGAGCCCGAGATGGATCCCCGTCACAGGGAGACGGTGGGCAGGACACACCCTTGTTTATTGTTCTCCCTGTGCTGGCGGGGCTGTCTGTCCGTGGGTCTTTGCGAAGATGGCTCAGGGCAGTGGGGGGGGGGGGGCATCTCTCCTCAGAGCCCAGCGCCATGTTTCCTTCAGCATATGTTGCCATGCTTGTGCTTCTCCTCCTGGCATGTGTGTCCCTGGGGAGACACGGGTGGGTGGAACAAGGCTCTCCCTGCTGGGAATGTCTTCTGGTCTATAAACATGCACAGAGGTGTCTCAGGGAACCCAGCTCCCTGTCAAATGTCCGAGGCCACGGGAGGCAGACCTTTGCCATCTGCTAACACAAAGGGTGTGGCCAGGGTCCTCTCCAGAGCCTTTACCCGTGGGCGTGGCTTTGTTTCCACACTCTCGACAGTGTGTCTGTCTGAGCTCAGCTGGTCCTGAAACTGTGTAGGGAGCAGCAGTAGGGGTCAGATGAGAACACAGGTGTCACTTTCCACCTGTGTTCCTGGGTGTGGGTCTGTTTACCAAAATGATACTAGAGGGGGCCTCAGGGGTCATCTGTGACACAGTGTCTAGGTGCATTGTGTCTGGAACAAAGGCTTGAGTAAAACCCAGAGTAGCAGCAGTGAAAGTATAGATTTATTGAGAGAGAGTGAGTACAGTGTGTTCCTTATGGAGCAGAGGGGGCTTGAACAAGCTTATGACTCAAGCTAGGCTCTCAGAACGGGCCTCTTCTTTATAGAAGGGGAGGACTGGGTGTGAATCTCTGACAGGAGTGGACCTTCCTTTAACTGTAATAGTGCTTGGTTTTTCTTTTCTGTTTGTGCAATCCTTGGAGGTGCAGGGTAGTCCTAGGAAAGGTCTTTCAATCTTTCCTGGTTGCTGGGCACCAGGTTAACCTTCCTATGACTCACAGTCACGAGTGTTTGACTCCACCTTCAGCTCTCCAGACTCTGGAGGCCTCTCCTCCTCCCCTCTGTTCCTTTCAGGGACAGACTCCTGCCAGCTACATCCCTGTACTTCCAGCTTCTACCCTTGGGCGGAGCTGGTAAGGAGAGGACAACAGGACGGAAGCTGATTCCTCCTGTCCGCTTCCAGCAGTGACAGGCAAGGTTCCAACTTCCCTTGGTAACCCATCACTGGCCTTGGGGGCACCTCCCCTTCCTTCTGTCCCTTCTGTTCCTCTGCTCTGATGTCAGTTCTGGGATGCCCAGCCCATTTGCCCTTGGCCCCTTTATCCCTTTATCTCTCCAGTTACCAGTTCCCTAAGGGCATGTGTCTGCATTAAACACTTGACAACATCTTTTCTCCAGACCCAGGCACGAACACACTCCAGAGGAGGACCTTGAGAGTCTTGCGCTCTTGCTCTTTGTGGCGTACCCTTGGGACAAGGTCTCCTACTGAATCTACAGACAGACTGGCAGCCATCAAACACCAGCCACCCAGCCCTCACCTCTATGCCCACACAGGAGGAAGGTCATAGACGGAAGTGATCACCTGGATTTCTATGTGGATGCCTGGGGGCTAGAACTCAGGTCCTCATGCTTGTGTGGCAATTGCCCTTTCCCTCCGGGCCATCTCTCCAGCTCCTCTCCCTAGGTTTTGACTATGAACCTGCCAAACTCACAGAAACCCTCCTCTGACATCCACCTCAGGTCAGCCTGACCCCAGGCTACAGGGCTCTGCCAGGTCAGTTCCTTCCTTTCCTACACCTGCCAACGCCCCTGGGACCAATAGGTTTGGGGTTGGTTTGGAGGAAGCCTAGCTTTGGAGGAGGGGCCTGTTTTTGCTCACACCACCCTCAGGCTCTGCTTGGAAGATATGCAAATAAGGCCCCTTTGCTTTATTTAAGTTCTTCTAGGGATCGTGGAACCTGGAACTACTTGCTGCACCCGGATACCTGCCTCCTGCCATCCACCCTGCAGCCCCTGACCACACAGCCTCTATTCCTGCCAAGCCACTAATATGGTCTTACAAATTAGGAATATCATATGAGACTCCTGTAGCCATGCTTATGCCTTGTGATAACAGGAAGTTACTCTGTTGGAGCTCTAATGGTTCAGATCTGAGTGTTGGCAAGGCCGTGCTTGCCAGAGCTTTGAGGGGAAGGTCTTTCTTTGTGCCGGATGGTCTCAGATGGTCACTGTTCCGTGTCTCCCATCAGCCTTGCTGTAATCTCTGTCTCTGTTTTTACTTTTATTTTTAGATAGGACCTCAGTAGGTAGCCCAAGTTAGGCTTAAACTTATGATCCTCCTGCCTCAGCCTTCCGAGTGTTGGGATCCTAGGGCGGGTGCCACCACACCTGGCTGCCTCTGTCTTTAAAAAAATTATTTTTTATATGTATTTAATTTGTGTGTATGTTACCTGCATGTATGTGTGTGTGCCATGTGTGTGCCTAGCGCTGTGGGAGGTCAAAAGTGGGCATGAAATCCCCCTGGAACTTGGGTTCCAGGCATGTGTAGGCCTTGTGGCTGCCTGGGTTCTCCACAAGAGCAGAGAGTGCTCTTAACTACAGAGCCACCTCATTAGCCCTCAGCCTTTATGTGGACTTCTTTTGCATATGTGTCTCTCTGTGCTCTTTCCTATTGGAAGAAAGGAAGGAAAGAAAGGAAAGAGGGAGGGAGGAAGGGAAGGAAGAAAAGATGAAGAAAGGAGAAGGGACGTCAGAGGGAGTTACTGGAGTCGTGGGTGGCCCACAGGAGGCCTCATCTGGCAGGCCAGGCCACTGTAGGAGCAATTTATAGCCAAGAAGTAATTGAACAGATTCGTACTTGAGCACAAGCCCAAACAGAGTCCCGGATTCTCACTGTTAGGGAAGCTCATTAAAAAGAAGAATGAGAAAAAGGCAACAGACCAGGGAATGGGGCTCTGTCCGGAGTCTGGGGAGTTTTCTAAAGTCCAAAGTCAAGAGTGTCTAGCATTTCACCCAATGAACTGTGATAATGAACATCTGGGCCATTTCTCGACGTGAGTTCACCCTTTAGAGACGCCGCCCACCTCGCTCCCCTGCCAGCCACAGAATCTGCTCTCATCTTGTCTTCAGGGTTGACTCACTTACCTTGTCTGTGCAATCATTCAGAGGAGCCAGTCACAGCCTCCTGTGGGAACCAGAGTTGGCTCTTGCCTCCTCACCCTCTTGCCACTGCCCAGCCTGTTGTCCCAGTGTTGCTGGCTCCCTCTGCTCCCCAGCACATTCCTACCCCGGAGGCCCTACCCCGGGGCTGTTGGTGATTGATGGCCGTTCCTGTGTGTTTGGCTTTCTTGTACTAGTTACTGCTGGGGAGTCTGTCCTCACGAACGGGGTGAGAAAGAAGCTGTCTGAAACCCCACGTGCTAAGCAGTACGCAGTGAGGGATCTCAGCCTACAGGTTATGTTATGGGGTAGCCTGGCATCATGGCCCACCTCCAGTTTCTTGGAGCAGGAAGAGAAGTTATTGATGTGAAGGAAGAGGTCACTGTATGCCTCAGTTCCTCTCTCCATGACTAGCCAGGGAGGGTCCTCTAGGCAGTAACCCCTCAGAGCTTTCCCATGCCTGCCTGGAGTAGGGGTGAGGGGGATCCTGTACCCTGGAACTTGCAAGGTCACGAAGCCTATCTGCCACCCGCTGTAGACTGAGCTGTGTCTGTAGGCCTATGCTTCCTACCTGCCTACCTTCTATGCTAGCCCCCTGCCCTTCTCCATTACCTTGAAGCTTGTTTGAGATGTTTCTAATAAGGAAAAGACAAGAGGAAACAAACCTATAGATGTAAAAAGGCTCATGAATTCAAATCCGTGCTTTTCCTTACTGTGAAGACATAAATTTGCATATTCCTGTTCTTTGGACTCAGAATTGAATGGGGTCAGGGAAGGGGGCTCACAGCACCCAGGAGATGCCAGAAGAGATGGAAAAGTGCATTTAGAGAAGGCTGGAGGAGGTGATTCCTGGGTTGGTTTGGGGGGTGGGGAGAAGAAAGACCTGGACAAAATAAGACAGAGGCTGCAGGAAGGCCATCTCGAGGTTGTTCCTCTTTTTTTTTTTTTTTTTAATTTATTCATTTATTCCTGATCACAGCCCTCTCCATCCTCTCCACCCAGTCCCACCCTCCCACCCTCTTCCTCCTTTCCCCTTTCCCTTCTCCTCAGTAAAAGGGAGCCCCCCCAACCCACTCAGGCTCATCAAATCCCATCAGGACTAAGCACATCCTCTTCCCCTGAGGCCAGACAAGGCAGTCCAGCTAGGAGAAAGTGATCCATAAGCAGGCAACAGAGGCCATGCCAGATACAACCCTCTTGCTAGGGCACCCACATGAACACCAAGCTGCTCATCAGTTACATACATGTTATGAGCCTAGGTCCAGTCCATGCATGCTCTTTGGTGCTTCAGTCTCTGCAAAGCCCCTATGGGCCCATGTTAGTTGACACTGTTGGTCTTCTTGAAGAGTTCTTGTCCTCTGTGGGACCTTCTATCCTTCCCTACACTCTCCCCTAAGACTCCCCAAGCTCCACCTAATGTTTGACTGTTGGTCTCAGCATCTGTTTTCGATCCGCTGCTGGGTGAAGCCTCTCAGAGGACAGTTATACTAGGCTCCTTTCTGCACGCATAATAGAGAATCATTAATAGTGTCAGGGGTTAGCTTTCTCTTATGGGATGGGTCTCAAGTCGGGCCTGTCATTGGTTCTCCATTCCCTCAATCTCTGCTCCATCTTTATCCCTGCACATCCTGTAGGCAGGGTAGATTTTGAGTCGATGGTTTTGTGGGTGGGTTGGTGTCCGCCTCCCTCCACTGGAAGTCCCACCTGGCTAGGAGGTGGCCTCTTAGCCTCGATGGCCCCTGCAGCTAGAAGCCTCAGCTGGAATCATCCCCACATCCTCTCAGGAGCCGACTCTGTCGAAGGTCTCCAGCTTGTCTCAGAGATGTCCTCCCCCCTCGGTTTCCCTTCTCCTTCCCACCACCTCTCTTCCCTATCAGATCCCCCCTCCACGTTCCCCTCCCCACACCCTCTCACGACCAGTTCCCTCTCTTCATCCACTTTCAACGTCCATTCTATTTCACCTTCTGCGTGGGATTTAAACTTGCACTGTCCCCCGTGTCCTGTCTGGGCCTCAACCACTGCACCATCTCTCCAGCCCTTCTGTCAGTCTTAAAAGTTTGAGGCTTTGCCTCTGGTAGGAGTTGCAGAAGTTGGGCGCACGGGCTCCACCTACTGTCCAGTTGGTGTTGGTGCTGGGAAGGCGTGCTGAGAAGCGAAGGTGGAGCCTGGTTCAGGGTGGGGATGGGCTGCAATGAGGACTGAGGGAGGGAGCAGTCCCAAGGTCTCTTTCCTCTTAAGAAACAACACAGGGGCTGGAGAGATGGCTCAGCCGTTAAAGCTCGGCTCACAACCATAAATATAAGAAACAACACAGATCCCCGACTGTGGATGTGGGTACCTGGACCACAGACACAAGATTAACCTAAGTTTTGGATTTAAAAACTGTTGGGTCTGGGTAGATGGTCTGGTGGGTAAAAATGCTTGGCCCACAGGTGTGAAGATGCGAGTTTGAAGGTCCAGAACACACACATACACACACACACACACACACACACACACACACACACACACACACACTGCACGTCTGTCATCCCAGCACTCCTGTGACAAGATGGACAATCCCTGGCAGCTCAAGGCCAGCTAGCCTGGTGTACACAGAGGCCCAAGGCGGAAGAAGAGGACAAACGCCTGAGACTATCCTCTGACCTCCACACGTGCGCTCACACGCAAGTGCCCACACGCAAATACAGATTAATAAAACATAAAAGTTTCATATTCAAAATAATGCTTCACTCATCTCTTTCTATCTGCATGGTCTTTTTTTTTTTCAATAAAGTAGCAATTTTCTGGGCTGCTTCGATATTTCTTTTGTAGACACAGGGTCTTGCTGTGTAGCCCCGATTGTCTGGAACTTACTGTGTACCTTAGGCTGACCTTGACTTTGCTCCCATCCTCCTGCCTCTGCCTCTCCAGTGCAGGGATCCCAGGTCTGCTGGCCTGCTGGGCTACATGCTGTCTTGCTCTCAAATGAAGGAAGGGAAGAGTTGGTACAGCACGGCCACCACAGTGTCATGTCACCTTCAGACAGTTTACAGAAAAAGTCACCACACTGGAAAGGTGGCTGGCTATATGGCTCTTTGCTTAGGAATCGTATATGCATTAAAAAAGACGTTTAACTCTGAAACGAGAAACTCACAGGGTACCTCCCCCCCCAAAAAAATGTAGACAATACTCACCCAATTTGTGTGCACTTGGCTTCGTTCCTCCAACAGTGGCATCTGCAGTAAAGGGAAGGTTCCTGTTTCTGTTAAAATCCATGTCCTGAGACCACCACAGCCACTAAAGGCATTGGTATGGGACCTTGCAGTGACTAGGTCATGAGGGAGCCTTCACAAGTGGGATTGGTGCCCTTATAAAGCACACCCCGGAGCGCTTTGTTGTCATTTCTGCCACATGAGGACATGGTCAGAAGGCAGATGGAGTGTGTGAACCAGGACACAGGCTCTTCGTAAACTCTGAACCCACGGGTGCCTTGAACTTGGACCCTCTAGCTTCCAGAACCATGAGGAATAAACACATTTCTGTTGTTTATGAGTCTCTTAGTGTGTCAGAGAGGGCTCTCTGTAGGAACGGAGCTGATAGCCTCCATATATGTTACAGAAGGGGATTTCTTACATTGGCTTCCACTGTAGGAGCCGGGCAGCTCTATTTGTCACTTTTCAGTCGCTGTGCTAAAACACTGTGACTGAGGCAACTTATGGGAGGAAGAGTTTAGTTTGGGTTAAGGTCCAGAGGGCTAGACTCTATGATAGCAAGAGGTAGCTGGAAGCTGAGAGAGCACCCCTGAACCACAAACCCAAAGCAGAGAGCGTGAACAGTTCTCAGACCAACCCCAATGATGACATACTTCCTCCACCGTGGCCGTACCTCCTAAATCTCTCAAGCAGCCCTCACACTGAGAATCAAGTATTCAAGTGCCAGAGACTCTGGTTCAAACCTCTGCAGCAGCTGACAATGGCACAGCGCAGAATTAGGGAGCCCAGTGCCTGCCCAGTGACAAAGGAAGTGGCTCTGTAGTCCCAATCTGGCACTGAAAGTCTGGAAGATTCCCGGAGTGTTGCTGGTCTTCAGGCTGTGTTGGGAGGTCAAGGAAGCTGGAGTCTGGCCGCAGACAGATGCACTCACCACTGAAGGTACCATTTTCCCTTGAGTCTCTTCATGTTGGAATGTACTACCATGATAAATGAAGGTCTTCTCTCCTCCGCTAACCCTTTCTAGAAATGTCCGCACAGACCTACCCAGGGAGGCCTGTCTC